CCAAAAACTACCAAGAATTACAATTTAATTGAACTAAAAGAAATTCTAAAAGTGGGTGCAAAAGGATTGTTTTGCCCCTACCTAACAATATATGGAATTCCAAAATAGTCCCTGCTGCTGCCCGAGAACTTGCGTGATCTTTCATGACTGATCTAGGGTTGTTCTAATGCCTGTTTGATCGAAAGATGATTGCTTTCTTGTGAGGCTCGGCATGACGATCGATTTGGTACCAACTTAGAGTCATGAATCATGTTTTTAAGCCATGATCATGAAACTTGAAATTTAAAATGTGCTTGAATCTTGAAAACTTTGGATAGATTTTGTGCTCATTTCTCAATGTTTTTTTTCAGTTTCTTCGCTCAATCATACTGAGCATGTCGTCACGATCACTTTGCAACAAGCGGCTTGATTTCATGTCTGGATGAAGATTTTGTCGCCTTGAGTTTTTTGCCCAAATCTTGAATTCTAGCAGCTTCAATGTCTCCTTGTGTGAAAGCCAATTGTTCATCGTATGAACCTCATGCACATAATGCATCTAGTTGCGTGCTGATCGATTATGCGAACGTCATGATTTGGTCACTCGAGTGAGGCGTGCTGCTGCTGAAGTTTCTACAATTTTCTTCACGGATCAGCAACTTCTCTCTAGGTTTTCTCCCTACTCAGGCATCATCATGGGGCATAACACTTATCGAAACATTTGTCTTGATGAGACGAACATGCTCAGCGATCCGACATGGAACGAGTGAGATATAGGCTTTGAAAGTCACTGCCTGTGACTGTAAAAATAGCCACCTTTAATGGTGTTTTGGTGCAAGGTGGCCACACGGGAATAGCGTGCGGCTTACTCCGTTGGTATTTTACCCATAAATTTGTTCGAGAGTGCCCAATTAAGCTGAAACTTGATCCATAGGGGTTTTTGACAGTGTCAAATCCAATGACGGTGGTCCCATATCTATTTGACATACCAAAAATATAGTTCTAATTATGGGGTCCATTTCCGGGTGCTAAAGGCCGATTTAGCTGAAATTGTTTCTTTGTGTTCACTGCCTTAGACATGTCTGATCGTGATCAAACTTGGCAGATGGCCTTTTGGAGTGTTGATGAATATCTTGACCGATTATGGAGCCATTCTGAATATCTTGATCGAGGACCAAGATGCTGAAAAATGCATTCAAACACTAGTCATGGCAATCAATTTGATGCCAACTTCGAGCCATGGATCATGTTTTTAAGCCACGATCATGCGACTTGAAATTTGTGTGAATCTTGAAAAGTTTAGATCAATAATGTGCTCATATATTGATGTTTCTTCATGATTTCTTCGTTGTATTACACTGAGCATGCCGTCACAATCGTGTGGCAACAAACGCAGCTCGATTTTGTGCCCGGACGAAGATTTTCCAGCCTTGGGTTTTTTGTCAGAATTTGAATTCCAGCGGCCGAAATTTTCAGCGACTTTATCTGCTTCGCGCTTGAAATCTGACCATTCATCACACATGGGGTTAGAAGCAATGTTAGCTCTGAACCTTACGCACGCGATGAAACTAGTCTTTTGTCAATCCGATGTGCGAGCGTCATGATATGGTTGCTCGAGCGAGATGTGCTGCAACCTCCTTCACAAATCACCAACTTCTCTTTAGCTTTTCTTCTTGCTTGGGCTTCGTCACGAGGCGTGCCACATATCGAAACACTCATCTTGATGAGAGGAACACACTCACGAAACTTAAGCATACCCGTGTTAGATTTGGTTGCCAAAATTCATAGCCCGGGATTGTAAAAACAATCACCATTAATAGTGATTTGGTGCAGGGAGGGTGCACGGGAATAGTGTGCAGCCTACCATTTTCGGTCTTTTACACATAACTTTGTCTTGGAGAGCCCGATTAAGCCGAAACTTGACCCATATGGGTTTTCAAACATGCTGGATCCAATGGCGGTGGTCTCATAGCAATTTGACACATTAAAAATCAATTTCTAGTTACGGGGTCTGTTTCAAGTTGCTAAAGACTGATTTTTTGAAATTGTTTTTTTGCCTACACTACCTTAGACATGTTAGATTGTGACGAAATGTGGCAAGTGACCTTTTGAAGTCCTTATGAACTCTGAGACTGTCAAGAATTCCACTGTAATTCAGGTTTTATTGACCAGCTTTTCTTTTTATTTCACATCGGGGACCCAAGATGCTAAAAAATGTCTTCAAATAGAGAGAAAAGGAGAGAGAAATAGAGGAGAAAGAAGAGAAAAAAGAAAAAGGAAGAAAGAGGAGAGAGAAATATAGAGAGAGAAGAAAGAAAGAAGAGGAGAGAATAAGAGAGAAAAAAAGAAAAAGAAAAGAGAGATGAAAGAGAAGAAAGAGGAAAGAAGTGAGAGAAGAGATGATGATGGGGTTCCACCATCCACGATAGAGGAGAGAGAAAGGAGAAGAATTCCGTCGTCCATGACAAAAGAGAAAGAGTAAGAAAAAAGGAAAGAAGAAACATGGACATCGATAGGTTCGACCGTCCATGATAGGAAAGAGAGAGTTAAAGAGAATCATGGACGGTGATAGGCTCCTCCATCCACGAGAAAAGAGAGAGAAAGAGAGAACATGGAAACGAAACATGGACAACGATAGGTTATGTCTTCCATGACAAGAGAGAGAGAAAGAAAGAATATAGACGACGATAGGTTCCACCGTCCACAATAGGAGAGAGAGAGAAAGAGAGAACACGCAAAAGAAACATGGATGACGATAGGTTCCATCCACCGTCCATGACAAGAGAGAGTAAGAAAGAACATGGACGACGATAGGTTCTATCGTTCACAACAGGAGAGAGAGAAAGAGAGAACACAGATGGCGATGGGTTCCGTTCTCCATGACAAGAGAGAAAGAGGCAAGAGAGAGAAAAGAGAAGACTTGCATGACAATAGGCATCGCCGTGCATGTAAGAAAGGACTCAAACACTACTCAGCCCGTCACTTGAAAAAGGGCCCGGTTCAATGTCCTTGTCAGAGAACTAGGGAAGAAATGTCATGCATGGCTATGAGCATCACCATGCACAACATGGGGATAGAGGAACTTAGACAGATGCCCAGCCCGACCCGCCACTTGGGTTAAGGTCCAGCTCAATGTGCATGTTCCAGGAGATTAAGAAAAAAGAGAGGATGTCATGCTCGACGATAGACACCACCGTGCATGACTAGAGAGGAGAGAGAAAGGAAAGAACCTAGAGAATAGGAAAGAAAAGAGAGATTAGGAAAGAAAGGAAAGGTAAAGGAAAGAAAGTAGAGAGAGAAAGAGAGAGGAGAAAGAAGGTTGAAACAGAGAGGAGAGAGAAATGAAGGAAGAGGGAATGAAAGAGGAAAGAGAGCAAAGAGAAAGAGGAAAGAAGAGAAAGAAAGACACGCATGGTGATAGCTTACTGCCGTGTGTGTTGAGAGTGACGAAAAGAGGGAAAGAGATAAAGACAGAAGAAGATAGAGAAAGAGAGGAGAGACATGCATGGCGATGCGTACTGCCATGCATGTTGAGGTAGAGAAGAGAAAGACAACATAAAGAAGAAGAGGAGAGAGAGAATCAAAGAGAAGAGGAGCGAGAAGGCAAGAAAGAAAAGGAGAGAGAAGAGAGGAAAGAGAAAAGAGGAGGAGAGAGAAAGTTACCTTTATCGAGGGATACCAGACTTTTCTTCTCTCTCCTCTGTCTTCTCGAATCACCAACTTCTCTCTAGCATTTCTCCCTGCTTGGGCATCGTCACGGGGTGTGCCACATATCAAAATGCTCGTTTAGACGAGACAAACATGTTTGAAAAATTTGTGCATCCTCTGACTCAAAACGAGTGAGATATGAGTCTTAAAGTTACTGCTCGTGACTGTGGAAACCAGTTGCATTTAATGGAGATTGGTGCAGGGAGGCTGCATGGGAATAGTATGCGGCTTACCCTTTTTTAATGTTTCATCCATAACTTTGTCTTGGAACATTTGTTTAGGCCGAAACATGACCCCTAGGGGTTTTCGACCCTGTCGGATCCAATGAAAATAATCTCATGACCATTTGATGCATCAAAGTTGGAGTTCCAGTTATAGGGTCCATTTTAAGGTGCGAGAGACTGATTTTTCCAAAATTGTTTCTTTGTCTGCGCTGCCTTGGACATGTCGAATTGTGACAAAACTTGGCAGGTGACCTTTTGGAGTCCTTAAGGACATTTTAACTCATTCTGGGGCAATTATGAGATTGTTAAAAATTACACTATATGTCAGGGCTTTATTGACCGGCTTCTCTTTTATTCCGCATCAGGGAGCCAAGCTGCTAAAAAATGTCTTCAAACAACCACATGTTGTTTTGTTCAATGTAATGTATGTTAGGCTTGTAAGGCTTGAACAACATTTTAAAGAATCTTGAAGTTTAAATGAAATTTAATGGTTTTAATTTATTCAGTTTTTAGTGCATGTATGAGTTTTATTTATTTCTTGTGGTTTGCTTTGATTTATCACTTCTAACACGTGTTAATGCCACTACCACTTGAGTGACATACTCAACCTTCGATCGTGATCTCGGACTCTGTCGCCCTCCGATTGAATACGATAGGGGTCAGAGGGTGGGGTCATGACAGTTATGGTATCAGAGCAGTCAAGATAGGATTCTTGCCCTGGGAAGTTTTAGAAGTGTCTTTAGAATATTTTTGGGTAGATTGGTAACTAAGTGCTTGTGTCATAGGTTGGAAATGCCAAGGACGTGAGCAAATAATGTAAGATCGAGTAACGAAAACACCGAGGCTCTCGCTGAATTTGTCAAAACCTTGGGGGCCATGACACAGATGATGAAAGAAGTAATGCTCGCTCCGTCTACGCCTGCCCCTGACCTAAATGATAATAGTTTAATAGAGAAGTTTAGGAGGCTGACTCCTCCGACTTTCTTGGGGCTTAGGGGAATAGAGAAAGTAGAACGATGGAGAAGGAAAGTATAAATGATATTTGAGGTACTACATTGTATAGATGAATAGAAGGTCAGATTGGGGACCTTCATGTTAGAAGGAGGTACTAAGCACTGGTGGGGTTTAGTGAAGCATTCATGGGAAGAGTTAGGGACAGAAGTAAGCTGGGGAAACGTTTTAGAATCCTTCAATGAGAAGTACTTTCCTAACTCTGTACAAGAAAGAAAAGAAGTAGAGTTTATTAAGCTGCAACAGGGGAATCTATCACTAGAGCAGTATGCGGCCAAGTTCATTGAGCTGTCAAGGTATGCGCCAAACATCATCAATACCGAGGCATGGAAGGTAAAAACATTTGAGAGAGGTATTAGGCCAAAAATAAGGGGGAGGGTGATATCAGTGAATTTTAAGCCCTTCTCCCCTTTGGTACATTTGGCCTTGAAGATTAAGAGGGACTACGAAGAGTCCCGGGTTGGAGGAAACTGGAGGACGGGATCAGCCCAGTTGGGAAATTTGAGAAAGAAGACTCGACCACCTCCTCTAAGGAAAAATTTCAAGAGAAGAGATAACCAGAGAGATAAGAAGATTCAGAGAACTTTGCCAGGCGACATAAGGGAGAACAGGTGCCCAACTTGCCCACATGGTGGGAAGGACAATCATTCGGCAGCTGAGTGCCAAAGGAAGAAGGGGGCGTGCTTCAAATGTGGTAAGCCTGACCACTAGATTAGAGATAACCCAGTAAGGGGACCTGAAAACTGACCAAAAACTTAAGGTCGGTTATTTACCCTCACTGAACAAGAAGCTAAGGCATGTGCTTCAGTCATCCGAGGTACTCTTTCCATTTGTGGCATTGAAGCTAAAATCCTGGTTGACCTGGATCTACACACTCTTTTGTTGCCCTCACTTTGCATGCCACATAAATGCTAGACCTTCCTTGCTGGATTGGATCTTAGTAATATGCACACCTATGGGGTAATCTATGGAAACTAATATTGTTTATAAACACTGTGGGGTTTTGCTTGAAGGGTGTATGCTGCCTATTGATTTAATACTATTAAACATCAAAGATTTTGATGTTATTTTGGGCATGGATTGGTTGTCCACATACCATGCTACAATAAATTGCCATGATAAAATTGTAACGCTTAGATGCCCAAATCAGCCTAAGCTGAACTTTATTGACGTTAAGGATGTTTCCCCTCTGCACTTTATTTCGGCTCTTTGGGCTTCCCATTTACTGGCTAAATGATGTGTTGGGTATTTAGCTTATGTAGTAGAAAATCGGGATATCCGGTCTAAGTTAAAAGAAATACCGATCGGGCAAGACCAATGTAGCAGCCGATGCATTGACTTAGAAACCCTTAATATCAATAGCATATCTGATGACTCGAGAAATGAAATTGATAGAAGATGCAGTGCAGTGGCACCCAACTGTACCCGTAAGAATAACTGCTGATATAAGGGTGCAACCTCAACTCTTTTAGTTGATCCGGGCAGCGTAAAGACGGACGCCCAGCTTGTGGAAATTTTAGAAAACAAAAAGCTGAAAAGTTAAAATGATTTCTCCGTCAGCAGCGATGGTTTGTTGTAATTTAAATATTGGATATGTGTTATGAGTGATGAGGATGTAAAAAGAACTATTTTTAAAGAGGCACACGACTCCCGTTATATCGTACACTTAGGAAGCACAAAAATGTATCAGGATTTAAAGAATACTTTCTAGTGGAATAACATGAAGGGGGATGTGGCACAATTTGTTTCTAAGTGTCTGACCTTGTTTGAACACATTGGTCAACACCTTGGTCCCTGATGTGAAATAAAGAGGAAGCAGGTCAATAAAGCCTCAACATACAGTGGAATTCTTGACAATCTTAAAATGGTCTCAAAACTGGTCAAGATCTTCATAAGCACTCCAAAAGTCCACCTGCTAAGTTTCATCGCAATCCGACTTGTCTAAGGTGATGAACACAAAAAAACAATTTCAAAAATATTGGTTTCTAGCACCTTGAAATGGACCCCATAATTAGAACTATATTATTTATACATCAAACAGTAGTGGGACTACCGCCATTGGATTCGACATGGTTGAAATCCCCTATGGGTCAAGTTTCAGCTTAATCAGGCACTCCTAGACAAAGTTATGGGTAAAATACCGAAAAGGGGTAGGCCGCACACGATTCCTGTGTGACCACCCTGCACCAAAACACCATTAAAGGTAAATATTTTTATAGTCACGAGTAGTGACTTTTGAGGCCCATATCTCACTCAGTTCGAGTTGGATAACACTCAAATTTTGTGAGTGTGTTCGTTTCGTCAAGACGAGCATTTCAATATATGGTATGCCCCTTAACAATGCCCGAGTAGGGAGAAAGAATAGAGAGAAATTGCTGATCCGTGAAGAAAATTGTAGAAAATTCAGTAGCAGGACGCCTCACTCAAGCAGCCAAATCACGATCCTCGCATTGCCGATCGACATGAAGCCAATTGAATTATTTGCGTAAGGTTCGAGGCTATCTCTGGTTCAAACTCCACGTATGATGAACGATTGGATTTCACACACAGACGCTGTAAATTATGGCCATCAGATTTCAAGATTCCGGCTAAAAACTCAAGATGTCAAAATCTCTGTCCAGACACGAAATTGAGCTGCATTTGTTGCCATGCGATCGTGACGGAATGCTCAGTGTGATTTAGTGAAGAAACCAAAGGAAAACATCAAGAAACAAGCACACTATGGATCCAAAGTTTTCAAGATTCAAGCAAATTTCAAGTCTCATGATCATGGCTTAAAAACACGATTCATGGCTCAAAGTTGGTATCAAATCGATTGTCATGCTGAGCCCTACAAGAAAACAATTATCTTTTGATCAAACGAGCATTAGAGAAACCCCGGATTAGTCATGGAAGATCAAACAGGTTCTCAAGCAACAGCAGAGACTGTTCTAGAATTCTGCACATTGGTAGACAAGGGAAAAACAGTCCATTTGCACACATTTTTAGAATTTCTTTTAATTCAATTAAATTGTAATTATCTTCAATTTTAGGTAGTTTTTTGGCATACACCCTTGTTTAGGCTCAATTCTATATAAACATGCAAAGCCTAATTGTAAAGGGGCTTGGTTCATTTTTCTACATTGATTAATAAAGCTTTCAATTCTTGCTTAAGTTCGTGGGTGCATCTTAATGAGAGAGAGAGTGGAGAGAGAAGAAAAGGGCTGGTACCACTTTGTAAGGTAACTTTCCCTCTCCTCTTTTTTCTCTCATCTCCATCTCTATCTCTCTTCCTCTCTCATCTCTATCTCTCTTTCTCTCTCTTATTTTCTCCCTCATCTATATCCCTCTTTTCTCTCTCCTCCTCTTTTCTCATATTTATTTCTCTTTCTCTCTCCTCTTTTCTCATCTCTATCTCTCTTTCTCTCTCTGATTTTCTCATCTCTATCTCTCTTTCTCTCTCCTCTTTTCTCATCTTTATCTATCTTCCTCCCTTCTCTTTTCTAGCTTGTCTCTATGTATTTCTCTCTCTTCCTCATCTGGTTTATCATGTCTCTCTTTCCCTACTCTTCTTTCTTTTCTGTATTCACTAATGGCTGACCTCTTGTCGGGTGTGATGTCTTTTTATTTCTGAGACACAAACAGTGAACTGGGTCTTAACCTAGATGGCGACCGAGCCCCCGTCAAAATTCTCTCCCTTCTGTCTTTTGTCACAGACAGTGCAAGCCTATCACTGCTTGTCTTTTCTCTCTCCTTCTTCTCTTTTGTCACAGCCGACGCAAGCTTAGCAATGCTTGTGTTTTCCGTCCTTGTTCTTCTGCCACAGGCGGCAGAAGTCTATTACCGCTTGTGTTCTCTTTCTCTCCTCTTTTTCCTATCACAACCGATGGAAGCCTATTGCCGCCTCTGGTTTCTCTCTCTTCTCTCTTCTGTCGCAGCCAATGGAAGCACAATGTCGCATGTATCTTCCCTCCAAAAGCAGACGGAAGCCCATTGCTGTTTGAGTTTTCTCTCTTCACATCTCATTGCCAATTATATCCTTCTTCCTCTTCCTTCTCTCTCTTACTTCTTCGCCTTCCTCTTTCCTCTCTTCTTTCTCTTCCTCTTTCTTTTCCCTCTATCCTCTCTTGTGCTATTCTCTCTCTCTATCTTTCTGTTCTCTTTTCTTTCTTCTACTCTTTCGTTTGATCAAGAGTGGTTGAGACTAGTATTTCATGATAATTTTGTCATCTAGAAGTAACATCGTTGTGCCAGTCAGAGATACTGTGCCTTCTTTACTGTCACGATAGACTAGCTATCATGTTACGCTGATTGGTATTGACAATGCCGTCTTGTAGTAATTCTGTTAAGCCGGTCTGAGTTACCGAGCCCATTTTATTGCCACGCCGGATCAATTACCTACTAGTTTAGCCACTGTGTCAGTCTCACCGTCTGGTTAAATTCTTCTAACCCCAATCTTTCTTATCTCATTCTTCTCTTTCTCTTTTTGAATGGGCATGCTCGTGTACATTCCCCAAAGGAAAGGTGGGGTCCCTTGACCCATTTATCTTGTAACATTTGCCATATGTGTGTGATTGCAGAAACAGGATAATACAGGCCAAGGGAGGAGATTCCAAACCAGTTTTATTACTGGGGGGACTTTCATCATGATCTAAGAGGGCGCCCACGCTAGCGAGCTTGATTTATTCCCGAACGCACCTTAAATTCCTCTCTCATCGGTTGGTCCACCTGCCCTTACTCTGGATCAAGGTTCTGAAGAGAGTGATCTTAAAGTTTCGGGTTCCCTCTGAAACCCTAGACGTGTGCTACAAAATCATCCAGATCCGGAGGGCGAGATTGGGGCACCTAACCAGCTTGGCGACTCCACTAGAGAATTAGTACCCCTTGGTCGGATCGTACTTGTTGGCTATTTTCTCCTTTTATATTCTGTATCTGCACTTATGGCTTCCAAGTTTTATAACCCATTCTATAACCCATTCATCCCCAAGGAATAAACTCCTCGAACTTCATTCCCAACCTTCCTTTTAGGTCAAGACCCCGAGTCTAGCTTCTAGGTCTTAACCAGGATTGGTGTAAGGAGGTACTTAAAGGTCCCTAACTCCCTGTCTCCTAACTCTTGTTGAACTTCTGCCACCTTGCATTGACAACACAGCATGCACCTTGCCACCGGCAGTAATCGAAGCGTCGTCCAGCTCCTTCCCGAGTTCGTCAATAAAAGCACGGTCGGTGAAGCTCTCAACCGGAAATGGGATCCGCCGCATATTTAAGTAGTCATTCCCAATCAAGCCTCGATCTTCCCCTGGGCTATGAAAGAAAGCCTTTTGGCCGGCAATCCTCATCAAGAATGGGTATAGTTTATCCCATGTGCCCTGTCTCTTGACATAGGTGGCAGGGAAATAGGCCCCTAGCCACCCATATACATAATGGATGGGGAATGGAGTCTTAAAGTCCCCAGGGAACGCTTGTCCTTCGACAATGTCATTCCCTCCCTCTTTGCCTTTGTAAGTCCCATGAGAGATGGCCCCCAATCCATGGTATATATTGCACAAAACAGGTTGAGCAAGGGCATACTCACACTCTATTGCCATGTCGCAGGCTACATAGAAGGTACCTAAACGAATGTCATCCGCCCCACCAAGGAGCACGAACTTGCATAAACATAAGGCAAAATATGCGGCCAAGAAGCTGTAGTCATTGTTGGTCTCAGATTGATAGACGGGAGGTGTCCCCTT